CATTTTTAAAGTACCCCTCTCAACCCTGTATCTAATCTTATATAACTTAAGTAACACAAAACAAATACCTCACATGAGTCACAGGGAGAACCTTAGGGAGTACATGCCTGCTATGCCCTTGATGTGGAATTACAATTTCTGCACAGAAGACAGGCAGCGGGAGTGAGTCATGAGGAGTAATCAGTGCTAGCTATGATCTGTTCCATGCCCTGATGTGGTTTAGCTTAGCAGTCATGAAGCATGCAAACGTATCCAGGGTCAGTACCTTGGCCTGGCCTTGGAAAAATAATGGATGACGGACCCGAGCACCTGCACAAGTCTCGGGAGTCGTGCTTCGTTTTCTGTAAGGCGTTGATGCAATGCAGATTTTTATTTATTCAACATTTGTCTCACCAGGTAGGTCAAGCTGGACAAAATGATTATTTTCAAGGAAAAGTCGCAACTCTATTATCCGGTAGCTTGTTCATAGACACATCACTTTACTGATGTCATACATTTTCATGGATCATTGCACCTGACCTCTCTTTTCTGGGTTCCAGAGATATGGCAAATGACCCCAGAAGTGTTTGTTTTTTTCTAAACCTCTCTTAAAAAGGTCAAATTTAACTTGTTTTGCATCAATCTTGATACAGGGTACTTATTATATGTTATAGTTTGGATTCCTAAAGCTTTTAGTCTACTATCCCATCATTCAAGGGTGGTTTTCACTATAAGTAATGTTTTCTTTTTGGACGGACACTATAATTTACATTTTTTTACTATGTTCAATCTGAATTTACTTTAAAATAAAAAAGATTCTATATTGATTCTGACTTTTCTACATCCAACTCACAGGTTTATCATTGCTTTGAGAAAAAAGTAAAGATATAGGAATTTGTTCTGGGAATGTCATTTTGGAGCCTGAGACCTGAAAAACAGGCTTGGGGATTAACTGGTTAAAGGGGGTCGCTCCTCTTGGGGTTTCTTTAACATGTATTCAAGGGGTTCAAGGTTCAAGGTTCTTTATTGTCAAACTGACATAGCTACAGAGTAATTATGTTGTTGAAAATCTTATGTCACAGGCTTCTCCAACAATGCAACATAATAACAATACAGATAGCAAGAGCAATACAAAAAGAAAAATAGTTATAAAATAAAGTGAGCATGTGGAATCGTGCAGTACGAGTCTATATTAGTCTATATTCCTTGTTGATTGGGATATTTAGCTGGAGTATGTTCTTAGTGGATGCAGGGGTCTAGACAAAAGGTGTCATATACTGTACAGACTGTTAACCCTCCTATTGTCTTCGTGTTCCCCCCTTACTTTGTTGTTCTTGTAAGGGGAACAAGCATCCGTTTCGGTAAAAATTGTTCGTATCTTCAGTTAGCTGAGTTTCTTACCGTTAAGTGAGTATGACACATTAATAGGTTATTAAATATTAAGATGCCCTGTGACAGTTTTGTGAAAAAAAACCCCGCAGCCCCCTGTACAGGGGGCTCTCGGGCTTAACAGGTTTTAAGGATCTGCGGGGACCCTGTTCAAAGTAACTAACTTACGGATTTCATTGAAGTGGCTATCATAAATACTAATTAAGAGACTTACAATCTTATGTTAGCTAACATTCGGCAATGTACGCTATTGAAGTAATCATCCAAAATATGTTATATTGCTTTTTTATTTTAAGTTCTTAAAAAATATCTATTGTTGATTTTGTAATTAATAAATGACAGAATAAATAATAATAATAATAATTACAATAAAAATAATAATAACAATTGTATTTGTATTATTTTTTAGGGGACACTTTTCTGGGATAAAAATATATTAAATGTTAAAACAACACTTAAAATATACAAGACAGATTCAAAGAAGTTGAGAAGATGTGAGTTTTGTGATTTGAACATGGAGAGATTGGTGCAGCAATTATTAGCAGCAATTAGTAATAGATTTGTGGCCTACTCTTTGGTTATATAAATAATGAAAATATTAAAAAGAATGATTCCTTATTTCATCTAATGCCTCTAGGTCCCTATTAAAACTAAAATGTTAATGTGTCCCGCTCTGCGTCTCCAGAGGAACACATCAGTTTAACGCTGTGCAAACTTCATCTCCTCCATATGCATACAATCTGTCGTAATTGGCAGTAGGACGCAAACATGAGCTGAGCCAATTAGTAATTTCTATGTGATACTGCTGATTTCTACATACAGTATGTCAACTTGAAAACTGTGGTTATGGAAACAGCCATGGGGCTAGTCTAGTCTACAGATGGAGACTAGACTCCTACTAGCTGCTAATAGCGGGTTGACCTCTTGGCCACAATTGCACTTGTCTGTCAAACTGTTGCTTGATGCACAAGCCGTGGTGTTCAAGGCATGAGGGCAAATCGGATTTACTGTGCGAGTTGTGAATTACAGTACAGAAATGTCTAAGGATTCAGAATATTTCCAAAACCTTAACTGTATGTGCTGCAGGAATGAATATTATCATTTAGGGATCGTTTAGCTGCACAATTAAATTCAGCTAATGCGGAAGCTGGAAGTGATTTTCCATAACAAAGCCTAATATTTCCCTGAATTAAATGTAACATTACATTGAGGCAGATGGTAGAAAATGGAGTACAAACCACAAACTGAGAATGACTCTTAGAATGTCAAGAAATTAAAAAGAATTGACAGAACTCTCAGGCAGATTAAAGATGTTGGCAGATGGTTGGCATCTGGCAATGCTCACGCTTGTTTCTGTACCTTTTTGTGGCCTGAAATTCTCAAAATTCGTCTTTAGATTCTGTTGCCAGAAACATCCTATTGCTTGTAGGAAGCATGCCATAAATGAATGCATTGCTCAACAGTGGCGAGCCGTCAGGGCCCTCTAGGCCCTCTCTGAGGGCCTAAGATGTTCTACTAAATAATATTTAAAAACATAAAAAAATAAAAAAAATTAAAAAATATATTTAAAAAATATATTTTTCTTTAGTTTTACCAAAATAACTTGATTTAATTGTATTTAAAATAACACTTCCAAAGAAATAAATCCTTCGAATCTGCCTATTCAGTTTCTGTTTGAATGTGAAGGGTTAAATGAAAGAAGCTCGTCTCTGCGAGGTGAAGATTGGAGCTGATTGTGGTCCTGCTGTAAATTCACAGAGGGCCCAGCTATAGTAACTGAACGAATAATGTCAAATGACAGTACAATTGACCAATCATATCTTCCCTCTAAATGGGAGGGTTTTATTATCGCAGACTTTATGACAAGTTCCGCCCGCTGTGAAGCTTTTCTTGTTTCCATAGCAACAACAACTTCCTGTCAACAGCGTAAACTCGCCTTCAAAATAAAAGCATGCCAAATTACACTTAAGACATACAACTGCAACGAAAGTAACAAACACAATACAATATCCTTTTCAATTTCAAAGAACACAAATTGGGTTATTTACAGGTGTTGTTTTGTGTGGTAGAGGTTTGCTTTCATTTATGTGTTTTGCACCCCGGGCCGTTGTTTTGATATTCCGCTGAAGTATACGCTGTGGCGTAATAACTATTTTTTTTTTTTTTTTCGAGGGAAGGGGTGGGGGTCAGAGGGCCTAGGTATAAAAGTCACGGCTCGCCACTGATTCTCAAATAAAAGTTGGTTTGCTGTCACAGCCAGATAAGGGAAGCCCGGGTGAAGACCGTTTGAGAAATTGTTGAATTATATGCTCTTTTTATGTTATAGCTCACAAGGGAGTCTCAGCATGAAGTCAATTTCCACAGAACTTACTTAATAATTAGAACAACAGAGTCATGTCCAACCTAAATCATGTTCAATGTGTTGGAGCGCTATCCAATAGAAGCATGAGTGTTACAAAGTGATGTCACTGTGTTTGGGTAGTAAACAAAGGAGTCCAACGGAGGCATTTCAGGGGGGGAAAGTGTGGAAGAGAAACTCCCTTTGGAGGGAACACAGGGATGTTAGCCTTTGCAGACCATTTACATGCACAAAAATATATATATACACTACAGGAAATGGAAAACCCTCCCAAAAAAACTAAAGCATAATAGGGCCTCTTTAAACACTTGTATCTGATCGGTATTTGGTGCATCTCTAATTTTAAACATATGTGACCCGCTCTATCAAAATCAGTCGGAAGTCGCAACGGCTCATTTCAAAATAAACGTGGATTTGCGTAAAAAAATAGTTTTTCGGGGTTTGGGTGTTTTGTTTGATTTTAAATAAACAAAGTATTGGCTTTCAGAAATTATGAAACTTTTATTTCCAAAATCACACGATAAATAAATGTTTGAAACTTGTAAAGGGAAGATGACAGCTCTCCCTCGCCACTCTGCTGTTCCGCAGCGCTGCTTCCCCTCCCTCCGGCTGACATTATGAATGTAAGGCGTATAGTAATCATAGATAACACGGCAGGGTCCGTTACAGTTTGTTTTCATCTGATTTCAATCAAACAAAGTCTTGGCTTTCAGAATATTAAACTTGTTTCGGCAAATTCAGATGATAAATACAACTTTGAAGCTTGTAACGGCATATTTACAAGCGGAGAACGGAGTAACTTGACGTCACAGCAGGCATAACAACATCCGGTGTTTCTCGTGAGTGTTTTCCCCGGGAAACAAACAATACACAGAAACGCAAAATTACACAAACACACACACACGTATACACACACACACTCGCGAGCTTCCCCCAGACCAGTAATCCAAACGAAAATATCTTCCCTCCGTAGTATTTTGATCATTTGCTCCGCTAATAATCAATCAGATCGATGGATTCCAGAGAAGAGGAAACTTTGAAGGCCTTTTTCTCAAAATGATGACTCGGTGACAGTCATTATATAATGTGACATATTTTGCTTAATATTTGGACTACAAAAACAATCCTGATATCATTAGAAAGCTAGGAATCTCCTCTTTCCAACAGTGTATACAATTCAAAATGTGTTGGGTCAATGCGACTGATTTCGATGGAGCAGGTCACATATGTTGGACAATAGACACAAAAAACGAATAAACATGCAACATCTCACCTTTCTCTTGTTTGTTGGACAGACGTACAGGTAACTCAGGACAGTCTTGGTTCCCACTTTGTCGTTCATTCTGTCGTATGTTGAGCCGTAGTCAGTAGATCTGAGCAGGGGAGATAAAGGCAAATTTAGATAAACGTGAGAAAAGTAAAGTTTGCTGAAAATGTCCTACAATGTCCTACAATGTAGACAAACAGACTAAATATTACTGGGACATTGCTCGATTTGGGTCAAATGATTTTGCACTGATGAAAACAATGCAATATGTAACCACAGGGTGAAAGAACAGTCATATGCAGGCTTATGCTGTACTGTACATATACAGTTACTGTGTGTGAGAGTAAAACCTCTGGCAATACAACAAAAGAAAGTTAACCAATCATCTGGAGCTGCCAACGAAAACGAGCCATTGGAAAATGTCCGGGGACTCGGCACTGTTAATAATTAATTCTCTCCCGATGACTGCTATGAAATAAAATATGACGAGTGCAAAAACATGTGGATGTTCCTGAACCCATGGGCTTTAATAATTGAACAGTGGGAATGAGCCTGTTAGTATGTAAGCCTATTTGCGCCACAGGAAAAAAAAATAAAAATCCTGTAAGTCAATATATTAACTTAGCTATTTCAATATATTGACTTACTATCTCAATATATTGACTTAGCTATCTCAATATATTGACTTAGCTATCTCAATATATTGAGTTATATATTTATTTTTTTATTGAAACAATTATGTCAAATACAGAATAAGGCACATAGACATCAATGTTCATCATATAAGCGGTACAGCTTCATATTAAGGTACACACATTCACCATCAACTAGTTGTTCATTAACATGCATATTAGCAGTATATTGGCTCTTTATTAGTCATTATAAAACACTTATTAATGCCTTATTCTACATGACCATATTCTACAAGTAATCTGTGCATGTTACACTTGCATGTATGAGATCATTCAGTGCCTTGTAACTTCTTTTTTTATAGTTTCACTCCGTTTGAATGTCAGTGGACTGCAAATAAGTCAATAAAGGAGCAGGCTGCTCATTCCCTGGCTCTCAAAAGAGTTTGGCTGGCTGTTTAATCTATGTTCACACTGAGACAGTACAACACATAGAGAGAACAGTACACCTATTGTGTAAGTACATACAAGCAGGTCACACAGTATGATCACAAATACATAAACTCTGTTAAAAATCAGATTTATTAAAAAGTACAGGCTGCATATGTGTTCTCAGCCTTGGAGAAACTTGACATGTTTTGGTACATGTATGTGTCTGAACCTCTCTTTAGTGGTTCATTAATAAAACAGATATTTCAACGTGTGCCTACTTTGTTCATGTACTGTTGAGGTTAATTTCAGTAGTTGTGTGCTATAATGTATTTACAAAGTGTGAAGAGGAGGCAACTTTAGAATAGGGAACCTGTTCAGGTCAATTAGAGTCAAACTACTAGCTTATTGGTTATGAACAAGACTTCACTTTAAAATAGGGAACATATTCTTAGATAGAAATACCTAATTTTGAGTTATTTAGACATATTGAGGAGAGCATATTGTGACGACCCCTGCTTTAAGGTCTCCTGTGGTGTGCATGGCCCTTTAATGTTCCTCCTCTGCTTGTGACGCCCTGATTGAGGACACCTGACGGCTGGCGGAGGTTTAAGAGGCCTGGGCCAGAGTCTCGATCTCTCGTCCCCGCAGAGGACCTGACCGCGGAGCAGCCACGTCGCTTAGCCTTTTTGCTTTTCCTTTGTGTTAGTTTTTTGGTTTACGTTAAACTTTTGTTAATAAATATATTTTTCATATATGTTCTTGTCCTTCCCACGCTTTTTGTTATGGCCAAGAGCAAGGCCATGACAATATTAAGACCAAAGCTCATGTACAACAACGTCCTTACTTGCAATAAATAAGCACTAATTAGAGGGTTATTGAGGAAAAACTCTCAACTAATGACATACTACTTGTAGAATATGGTCATGTAGAATAAGGCATTAATAAGTGTTTTATAATGACTAATAAAGAGCCAATATACTGCTAATATGCATGTTAATTAACAACTAGTTGATGGTGAATGTGTGTACCTTAATATGAAGCTGTACCGCTTATATGATGAACATTGATGTCTATGTGCCTTATTCTGTATTTGACATAATTGTTTCAATAAAAAAAGAAATATATAACTCAATATATTGAGATAGCTAAGTCAATATATTGAGATAGTTAGTCAATATATTGAGATAGCTAAGTCAATATATTGAGATAGTTAGTCAATATATTGACTTACAGGATTTCTTTATTTTTTTTCCTGTGGCACAAACAGGCTTCCATATGTTAGCCAGCCTAGTCCCTAGAAACTCCACATGAATCCATAATCACTAGTAACCACCAAATCCACCTTCAAGTAGAATATTACAGCATGTACAGGGCTCTATTCGCCTTCCCCTTTTCTCTGTCAAAGCTGTATTCATGTGCCTAGGATTTTACAAATATTTCCCTCTGAGGGGATAGAAGCACCCAGCCACAACGGTGGCATAACTCCCATTTTGCAGTCACAAGGAGAGTGAAGATGATACCTATTTGAGCGTCAGTTCCTTTTTTAGTCAGAGCCTGCTTCTTATGCTCTTCCACGTGAATGGGGTTTCAGAAAAATACATTTATCTCATTCCCGAATGCCTCTGAGACACAGTAGTTGCTATGATTACAAAGCACAATAATGAGTCGGGCAGACAGCAATATTTTCAAGCATTTTGTGGGGAGGTATGTGTGTGTGTGTGGGGGGGGTGCTGCAGTGTGAATGATCCCGAATTCGAGCAGGGGCGGTGAACTATACCTCTTGGAATCTGTGTTACACTGCCTGAGAAGAGACTTCCTAAATAGCCGAGAAGCATATGTTATTTTTGGCATGACATGGATAAGTACGAGTGCCAGACGTGCCTTCATCATCTAGTCACCGAAAACGCATATGGTTAGATTCTTTAATGGATATGGAGACAGACAGCAGGGAGATGTCAGCTCTCGGACTTGGAGCAAGATACATATTAACCGCCCCGACTTCTACCATGCCAAGGAGCTGATTTTAAAGAGGAGATGGCATAATTACAAATGAAAGGTTTCCATTGGCAGTGTCAATGCTGCAGGATGAGCCAGTGGTTTCACTTTACTGTGTCTAAAAGGCAAGAGTTTGAAAATCTTTCAAGCTAGTATTTACTAAACACCTAATTTCAGGGTCTCCAACACGTTGATCGCCAGTAGCTCGTGAATGTTTTCTGATTAGCATGCCAGAGGGCGCTTGCAGTTGTGCAGTTGACATGTTGAGAGATGTTTATTTACGTAGTATGTTCTGAGAGTAAGATAGAGAGAAAGAGATGTAAGTTACAGTCATGTTAACTGAAGAAGTTCCATTAAAGAAAAATCCAAGACAAGTGCGTGCGATTGAAATGTGGAGCGGCAATTCACAAAACTTCACGAAAGCTTTTCCAAGGAGTTTCTCTCCGGTAGTTGCCTGTGGTTCGAGAAGGTCAAACAATTGAAAGCTAGGCTACAAAGGCAGCAGTTATTGTTCACGAAGCCTGCCAAGAAAGCTAGCCTAGCTACAGAAGCATCGTTCCTAGTGGCTCAGTATTTGGTAAGGAACAATCAGATGCAAGTGGTTCTCCATACAGTGCGACGAGTCGGTGGATGGGAGCGACACATCAGCTCAGCTGGCTGTGTCCATCCGGATGGTTATGGGGGACTTCATGGAGAAAGAGGAATATCTTACACCGCTTCAACAGTGTGGACGTTTCTAATTGTATTAAAAATGTATTCCAGATATAAACGAGTGCAAATGGAGAAGCTATCTGTAATGGAAAAGTTCTGGAGCAATTGAGTCGAAACACAATGAAATATGGGAAAGCTGGAACTTGATGGCAAAAAGCTGAAGGTCTATTCCAAGTTACTGCCGGAGAATTGACAAAGACATCTGCTGCAGACACAAGATGACACAGCGGTTGCCCAAAACAATTCTGAAGATTTCTCACCCAGTCCCATGTATTTAGCTGGTTCCGAGAGAATATTCAACATTCTTCATATTAACTAAATCGACTAAACAAGCAGGGAAATAGAACTGTTTGTCCATAACTTAAGGTTCTCTGCCAGAGGGACTTGCACATCTGATATGCTGGACTAAACTATCTTATAAACTGGCAATATACTGTAAAGATACAGAGCTGCCTCTATACAAGAGAGATAACATAAACTCTTCAAGGCTACATGCCTGAGCAATAAGGAAAGAGAAACTGAGAGTAAATAATGATCATCTAGGTCGAAGACTAACACCTAAGCAACAATATTCCTCAAACGTATCCATAACAACTGATAGAGCCCCGGCTATGAGAAGTCGACACTCCGGTTTTATCCCGAATTGTAAGTCAGATCCATACTTCCCATGTTTCCTGAGTTACCATTGCATTATCCACCAACAAGCACTTTGCTCCAAAGTTATGGACTTCAATCATGTCCTGAAACCTGTGACAAAAATAATAAACTCTATTTGAGCGAAGGCAAAACAACCTAGGAGCTTCAAACATTTTCAGCTGAAAATGGAGATCTCGTTCTCCATGCTGAGGTGAGCTGGTTGAGTAGAGGGAGAATCCTACAGCGCTCCCTCTCCTTGCTGAATGAGGTAAAGCTCTTCATGGAAGAGAGAGGGGAGGACACCTCCATCTTATCTGATGCTGGTTGGGTACTTGACCTGGGCCTTTTTTACCGATCTGACTGGAAAATTAAACCAGCTTAACTTCCAGCTACAGGGCAATTGTAAAACAATATGTGACATGATTAGTGCTGTAAAGGTCTGCAAGTCTGTGTCTATAGCTCCAGCAAGTAATGGTAAAGAAATTGCATAATTTCCCCTATGTTCAAAAAGTACTGCAGGAGAATAAAGCTGCTGCTGGCTTTCTTGGTTTATCAAAGTGCTGTGACTGCTTAACTAAACTTGGGCAGGAATTTGAGGACAGATTTCTTGACATTGAGCAGCTTGACCCCTGCGCAAGTTTCCTTGTTAACACTTTCAAATTTGTGGATGTTACTGACAGGTCTGAGCAACTGGCCAGCCTTT